TGGACCCAGGGCCGGCCCCAGCTTATTTTGCACCCTAGGTGAGGATCCCTTCTGGCCCTCCCTCGGGTGCCGCTGCCGGCCAGAGGATTTCCGCACCAACTGACCCACTTTGCCCGGCTGCTGCCTTGCCCAACTGCCCAGTGCCTTTCCCGGCCCCTTCCGGCGGAGCCTCCCACGGGCTGGCAGGTCGCAGTAATGGGCCGCACTGGGTAGGGGGGCTTTTGGCGGGGTGCGGGGCGGGGGCAGTTTGGCGCCCCTAAGGGCCGGCGCACTCTAGGCGAATGCCTAGTTTGCCTAGTGAGCAAGCCGGCCCTGAATGGCCCATCCAGTCCAACACTCTGTGTCACACAGTGGCCAAAAATACCAGGTGCCACCAGGAGCTCTCATCCACCAGAGGGCAGCACAGCACCAGGCAGCCCAACTCCTATACTGTGCGTTTTGTGTGCCCGCACACGCACATATGAAGCGCTGCCAAGGTCACCCAGGCTGGGGCAGATGAACAGAGGTGGTTTTTGCCATTCCCTGCCTCTGCGTAGCAACCCTGGACTCCCTTGGCCATCTCCCATCGAAGTAGTAACCAGGGCTGACCCTGCTCAGCTTCTGAGATCTGATAAGACCCATCTACCTGGGACATCCAGACCAGGGCACCTGTCCTTTACAGAAGTGCCATGGCTTTCCATGGCCTTCTGCAGGCACCCCTTTCTCTTCATACTTCCTATGCAGGGTTGCCAAGCACCAAGTGGGTATGATTACAAACAACAACACAGAAACCATGACACCATAACTATGACAACTTCAGTACTTCAGTGTTTTCTTATGACAGTGCATATGTCTCTCTCTCCCTAACAGTACGTATATTAGTCACAATAAATACTTCATTATCATTATCAATAGTCCCTTCTGAACTATTTGTATGACGAATGAAAGTGCCTGTGAGTGTTCTTTCCAAGGCTGACGTGCTTGTGCTGTAGTAAACGGTCTTATTCCAGGGGTCATTTCCTGCGGGAGTGCACAGGAGTGGAGCTCTGGCAGTAAGGAGCCCAGGGGGTGTGGCACATGCAGCAAGCCCTGCCCCCTGCTCCCAGCAGCCCTCAGTCAGAGCAAGAAGCAGCCAGGTAAGTTGCAGAGCCCCCCCCCAGCCCCTCAGTCCAAAACAGTCCAGTGGCACCTTTAAGACCAAGTTTTATTCAGGTACAAGCTCTCCCTCCTCTGTGAGGGCAGATCTGCCCATCCCCCCCCAATAGCTAGCAATCCAAAACAGTCAGGTAGAGCCTGAGCGGCGGGCGTTGCCTTCTGACACTTGCAGTGATGTCAGGGGGTGTAGCATATGCAAACAAGTTTTGCTAATAAGTAAAGCTAATGAGCTCCTGCACCTCTTTTTCTACTAAAGGACCCCTGCTTATGTCCTTTGTTCTTTCAAACTGTGGATGATTTATGGACGTTCTAATGCAGCCTCTGACGGACCTGTCAGCCTTTAATTCCGTTTCTTCTCAGCTTTCTCAAAGAGGCAACAGAACAAAATCCATATATCCAATTATCCTTCAAAGACAGACAAGAATTTAACAGTCATAATTTCCACAGAAGGAAACAAAGGGCATAAGACCGTCTACTACTGCACAAGCACTTTAGAAGAAGAGATTGGATTTATACCCCCTGGCCCTTCACTACCCAAAGGTGTCTCAGAGTGGCTTACAAACTCCTTTCCCTTCCCCTCCCCACAACAGACACCCTGTGAGGTGGGTGGGGCTGAGAGAGCTCTTGACAGAGACTGCTCTTTTTCAAGAACAGCTCTGAGAGAACTTGTGACTGACCCAAGGTCATCCAGCAGGTGCAAGTGGAGGAGTGGGGAATCAAACCAGGTTCTCCCAGATTAGAGTCCACGCACTTAACCACTACACCGAACTGGCTCTCTTTAATCTTGGAAAGAACATTTACAGGCACTTTTATTCGTTATACAAATAGCGAATTTATTTATTTATTATCACATTTATCCCCCCCCCGCAAAGCAGGCTCAAGGCGGCTTCTAAAACAACATATATACAGCTTAAAACACAGTTATTAAAACAACAAATAAAACAACCATAAAGTGCTGGCGGCAATTAAGAATGGACTATTGACAATGATAATGAATTATTTATTGTGACTAAGATATGCACTGTTAGAGAGACCTGTGCACTATCATAAGAAAACACTGAAGTACTGAAGTTGTCATAGTTACACTTTCATGGTTTTTGTATTTTCTGATCGTACCTTGTTCCTGTGGATCTCTGTGGATTATATAGTTACAAAATGGGGGCTAGAGATCTCCCAGAATTATAGCTGATCTCCAGACCACAAAGATGAGTCCACCTGGAGAAAATGGCTGCTTTAGACGGTGTGGCCTTGTACCCTGCTGAGCCCCCTCCTCTCTCCAAACCCTGCCCTTGCCCAGCTCCGCCTCCAAATCTTCAGGATTTTCTTAAGCTAGAGTTGGCAACCATGGTGCAATGCCAGGGGGCAGAGAGAACTACCCCAGGCAAGCCTGCTTCGCTTCAGACTCATGACTTCAGTCAGGATTGCCCTGGGACACATTTTTCATTGCCCCTTATTTCATCCGTTCAAGCAGGAATTGTTGCCTGTTCTTTTGGCACAACTTAATGGTGCCTTTCCTGCCTGCATGAAAACAGGAAAGAACTCCCAACATGATGCCTGTAAATGCTGTGGTGTCTGCCAACCCCTTTCCTGGCTCCCGCCAACAGTTTTTGGAAAGTGGGCGGGTCCAGGTGGACCCTTTTCCCAGCAAGGCTTCTGATTGGCCGTGCCAGTTTTTTTTAAAAAAACATATTGCTTTGGCAGCAGCTGCCACCACAGCACGAGACTCTTCTCTGTGTGACTGAAGGTCAGTTGCCGCAGCCATTTTGTGCCTCCTGCAGCAGCCATTTTGTGGCCGCGCCCAGTGTCCACCACACTGTGCCAGAATTCCAAAGGCGCCTGCAGGCTCAGAAGGGTTTGCGCTCCCTGAAACGGCTGCTTTTCTTTACGCGAAGTTGTTTCTGTGGGGAGGATTGTACAAACCACCACCTGCCACCGGAAGTGTCCAGTACAAATCCCAGTTTGCCATTGCAGTGAGAACTCATCTGCCAAACTGCCCGTGACCGCTTCAGGTGCAAGGCCACCACACACCTTGATGTCATGTGGAGCTAGTCATCGGTTAGCACAACATGGCCTCACGTGGTGCTCAGTTCCTAGTGTACCCCAATATCCTGCAGGAAATGACCCCTGGTTGCAGTCGAAAGAAGCCTAATAGAAACAGTACTTGCCCTCTCGCAATTGGCCAGCTTGTCCGGCATCATGCGTGTGAGAGTATGAGGGCATTGTCTCTACAGGAGAGACCCGCAAATACATGTGCCTCCGTGGAAGGCCATGAGAAGAGAGGGAGAGGAGAAAGGGAGAAAGAGGAGGGCTCCGAGGGTGGCCCCAAGGAAAAGACAAAGAAAGGTATCCCATTCAAGGAGTCACACTTTAAGTGATGTAGCTCCCCTCACTGTCCAGGCATGCTGAGACACCCACTCCTACAACCACAACAGGGTGCAATGTTGCGTATCTTGGTTGCACAAAACATGGCTCCCAATCAGAAGATGCAGCACACTATAACTGTGCCCCCCCCCATAAATCCTGGTTATTTACCTTCTGAAGTTACTAATCCTCACAGGGAAGAAAAACCTCAAAAGTGTGCACAAAAATATTTGCAAGAAGGCTTGGAAAGTAACTCCCCTTTGTTACACTCAGCCTTTTAAAAATGGAACATTCCCGGGTGACCAAGGAAAGGAAACTGAGGTGGAACTATGTAGATAGGGGGGGAGGCTCACCAGATTAGGAGCGGCAGACTAACAAAATCTGTGGCAGAGTGTGAACTTTGGTGAGTCATAAGAACATAAGAGAAGCCCGTGTTGGATCAGACCAATGGCCCCAGGGCCGGCCCCAGCTTATTTTGCACCCTAGGCGTGGTTGCCCAACTGCTCAGTGCCTTTCCCGGCCCCTTCCGGCGGAGCCTCCCACGGGCTGGCAGGTCGCAGTAATGGGCCGCACTGGGTAGGGGGGCTTTTGGCGGGGTGCGGGGCGGGTGCAGTTTGGCGCCCCTAAGGGCCGGCGCACTCTAGGCGAATGCCTAGTTTGCCTAGTGAGCAAGCCGGCCCTGAATGGCCCATCCAGTCCAACACTCTGTGTCACACAGTGGCCAAAAATACCAGGTGCCACCAGGAGCTCTCATCCACCAGAGGGCAGCACAGCACCAGGCAGCCCAACTCCTATACTGTGCGTTTTGTGTGCCCGCACACGCACATATGAAGCGCTGCCAAGGCCACCCAGGCTGGGGCAGATGAACAGAGGTGGTTTTTGCCATTCCCTGCCTCTGCGTAGCAACCCTGGACTCCCTTGGCCATCTCCCATCGAAGTAGTAACCAGGGCTGACCCTGCTCAGCTTCTGAGATCTGATAAGACCCATCTACCTGGGACATCCAGACCAGGGCACCTGTCCTTTACAGACGTGCCATGGCTTTCCTCCCAGAGGCCACAGAAGCCTTCTGCAGGCACCCCTTTCTCTTCATACTTCCTATGCAGGGTTGCCAAGCACCAAGTGGGTATGATTAAAAACAACAACACAGAAACCATGACACCATAACTATGACAACTTCAGTACTTCAGTGTTTTCTTATGACAGTGCATATGTCTCTCTCTCCCTAACAGTACGTATATTAGTCACAATAAATACTTCATTATCATTATCAATAGTCCCTTCTGAACTATTTGTATGACGAATGAAAGTGCCTGTGAGTGTTCTTTCCAAGGCTGACGTGCTTGTGCTGTAGTAAACGGTCTTATTCCAGGGGTCATTTCCTGCGGGAGTGCACAGGAGTGGAGCTCTGGCAGTAAGGAGCCCAGGGGGTGTGGCACACTAAAGAGTAGCTTGCTCTTGACCAGTTTTGAAGTTTCTAACTTTTTATAAATATTTCTTAAAATCTCGCACTACTTGCTTCTTGTTCATAGAAGTTATGCTGTTTAGCTCCATTTTGGAAGACTTCTGTATTTATTTAACAAATTTGTATCTCTTCCCCCTACACACCACACTAACCTTAAGGCAGCTAGGGGGAGTTATCCCATTTTATCTTTACAACAGTGCAGCCACGTTCTACTTGGAGAGACCATATTTGACCCATTTTCTTCTTTTTCTTCATCAATTTTTGTTGTTTTATTTGCACCTTTGCAGTACTTTGGTACATTTAAATGAGCCCATTCAAGTCAACTGGTGTTTGCCCAGCCAACAGACTAATCCTGGGATCAGTTTACCAGAATCGCTACCATCAGTAAGTTTGGCAAAACTCTTTGGTGGCAAAAATCGTAGCATCCCTACATATGATGACTATTTTGTAACTTTCCATATTTTGGCAGCATATCTAACTTGGAAGAACAGTAATGGAAATGTTCAAAAACAGTTTCTCAGCAAATAGTTCTCTAAATAACCTTTACGGATTAAAGTGAGGGTCTGCCTGCAGTGCCTTTTTTGTCACATTAAAAATTCCCAGACTGCTTCTAAAGAGCCACCTGGTTATAAAGGGAAGGAAAGAGAAAGAAGGCCTTGATAACAGAGTATGGCTTTATACTACCCTTGGTCACTGTTTCAAACCCTGGTCTCCCAGAGCCTTGTATATCACTCGAACCACTGTGGGTAGCACAGAGTTGTGATCTCATTGGTGTCAAGGCCAGGATTGTGGATGATGGACCAGGAGAACAGGAAAGACAAGTTGAGCACCAAGATATATACTGTAGCATAGAACAAGCCAAGTGTCAGAGCAGTAGAGGAATCTTCTGCACTGTTGCATCACCATCTTGCCGTTTTTGTCAGGATGCATTGTCAGGTCTCCCAGTTAAGACACTCTCCACAACACACTTAAGCAGTGGTAGTTTATTGAGATATGCTTACTTTTGAAAACTTGTTCTGTGTCAGAATTGAGAAAAAAACGCACAAAACCCTCAGTTATAGGTAAGGCAATTAACGCCTCACATCTCATGCATACATCACCATTCACCCTCTAGGTCACTATGGCAACCCTGACAGATATACGGCGCCTTATCTATTCTAGCATGGCAGAAGAGTCTCCAAAGTCAGCTCCCATGGGAACTGGCGTTGGGGCACAGTTTAAAGAAATGTTTCTGACTGCTACAAGCATTCGCTTTCAATACCCCGTGCACTCCCTTCAGAAATCCCCTCTCCCCAATATTATGGCGAGCAGTGAAGTGAATTCTAAAGAAATGAAACTAAAGCTTGACATGCATGTGTGCTAGCAAAAAAGTTTTCTAAACAGCAAAAAATGATGGCACCATAGAGCCAGGGGTCCTCAGTTTTGTGCCTATGGGTGCCATGATGCCTGCCAGCACCTTTCCTTTTGCCGGCCAAGTGTTTTTATAAAGTGGACAGAGGCAGGTGGAGATTTTGTGCAGCAAGGCTTCTAATTGGCCATTGGAGATTTAATTGCCTGTGCAGATTTTAAATTTTTTTTGCTTTGACAGCAGCTGCCACCAAAGCAAAAGAATCTTTACTGTGTGATTGAAACTCTGGCAGCCATTTTGTGCCTCCTGCAGCAGCCATTTTGTGGCCGCGCCCAGTGTCCACCACACTGTGCCAGAATTCCAAAGGCGCCTGCAGGCTCAGAAGGGTTTGCGCTCCCTGAAACGGCTGCTTTTCTTTATGTGAAGTTGTTTCTGTGGGGATGATTGTACAAACCACCACCTGCCACCGGAAGTGTCCACTACAAATCCCAGTTTGCCACCGCAGTGAGAACTCATCTGCCAAATTTGCCCGTGACCGCTTCAGGCGCAAGGCCAGACACCTTGATGTCATGTGGAGCCAGTCATCGGTTAGCACAACATGGCCTCATGTGGTGCTCAGTTCCTAGTGTACCCCAATTCAGAGAGATGCGTGTGGATATTCAAGGGACTCTCCCTCAAATTTGTCTCCTCTCCTCTCCATCAGAAGGTAGAAAAAACAGTTGACCACCTGGAATCGGAAGTCAAGTCCCTTCTCAGCGCTGTAAGCGAAACAGCCTGGAATGTCCCTCTGGCTCCTGAAACGCCGCTCCTGGATATCTTTGAAGGTATACGTGTAGAGATGTAAAATTTCCGGAAATTTTGAAGCTCGGAATTTTTCGGAAAAATCGGGAAAAATGCTACGTTAGCACTTCTTTTTTCTTTTCCAGATTGAAAGTCATTCTGTTACTTTAGGAACATAGAATTTTACTTGGCATGAAATTATCACAACCAGCATATTAAAAATACAGTGTATCCAAACAGTTATTACAAACAGAATTTACTTTTTAACTAATATTTATTTGTAATTGTAACCATGACTTCCAGGCGCACACACACACAGAGACACGGAAAAATACTCACCCCCCAAAAAAAGTGAATCAAGGTGTGGGAGAAGACACATGAACGGAAAGGCAACTGTACTGTATTGTTTAGTCAGCAAGTCGAGAACCAACCACCATCTTCTCTTTCTCTCTCCCTGCCTCTAGATCCCAGCTGAACATGGCAAAGATGGTGGAATAGAAGGACAGCTCCGAAATAGGCACGGCCCATCTGGATAATTCATACAGCTGCACTCCATCCCATCTTTAGCTTTTCAGCTAAAACAGTATATCTAGTCTTGGGACAGACAATATTTCACAGCGAGCCCCTGTAAGTTGTTCAGTAAAATTCACTAACAATTAAAAAAAGACATTAATTCGGAAGACACTTGATTCCCCCCCCCACCTCTCAAACAGGTGGTAGTTGTAAAGGTTTAAAGATACCCACCTTCTTAAAATAGAGCGTGAAGATCCTTCAAGTTCTTAGCATCATCAGAAGCTCAGCTGGCATCCGATTGAGAGCCAGTGTAATCTACAGTGTCGGACTAGGACTTGGGGTGCTCTGGTTCAAATCCCCACTGAACCACAAAGCTCACCCAGTGACCTTGTACTGGTCACATTCTCAGCCTAACCTAGCCGTTGTTGTGAGGATGAAATGGATGAGTGGAAAACGACATATGCCACCCAGAAGAAAAACTGGGTGAAGATAAAATGGAGGAGAGGTTGTGGGCCAGTGGTAGAGCCTCTGCTTGGCGTTCAGGGGGTCCCTGGTTCGATCCCCAGCATCTCCAGCTAAAAGGATCAGGCAGTAGATTATGAGAAAGACCTCTGCCTGAGACCCTGGAGAGCTGTAAAGAGGGGCCGTGGCTCAGTGGCAGAGCCTCTGCTTGGCAGGCAGAAGGTCCCAGGTTCAATCCCCGGCACCTCCAGTTAAAATGACCAGGCAGGAGGTGATGTGAAAGACCTCCGCCTGAGATCCTGAAGAGCTGCTGCCAGTCTGAGTAGACAATACTGAGCTTGATGGACCGCTGGTGTGATTCAATAGAAGGCAGCTTCATGTATTGAGGAGCGGAAACCAGTGTATGCCCACCCTGTAGAAGATCTGGGTGAGGATAAAATGGAGGAGGGTTGTGGCTCAGCGGCAGAGCAGCTGCTTAGCATGTAGAAGGTCCCAGGTTCAATCCCCGGCATCTCCAGTTAAAAGGATCAGGCAGTAGGTGATGTGGAAGAATGTAGTGTGAGACCCTGGAAAGCTGCTGTCCCGTTGGCTAGTCAAACTGAAATTGGCTTGACTTTGGTGGTTCAAAAAGAACAGCATCTTTTGACAACTGACCACCAGATCCAGAGTCAAAGATCACACTTTTCTTGCCAGCCATAAAATGTAAATTTCCCCCCACACACTCCCAAACACTGTCTTCCCACACAGTACCCTCAGCTACATTTCCTCAGCTGAAAGCAAATAAAAAACACTCCCCCCCCCAGCAGCTCTGTCTCTTGCTGCTTCTCAGAGCTCAGCTGGGTGAGCTCTAATGCTTGTATGTATCTTTCCCATCCCTCTTTTGACTCCGGATCAGGCCCTGGCTGAGAGCCCCCGCTCCCTGCAGCTTCTCCCAGTCTCTGGCAAGGTCACCAGAGGGGGCAGCCAAGATTCATCCTGACTGAGAAACATTTTGTATTTCTATGGTGCTGAAAAGTGTCACGTCACAGCTGACGTACGGCAACCGCATAGAGTTTCCTGGGCAAGGGACGCTCAGAGGTGGTCCACCATGGCCTGCCTCTGCGTAGCAACTCTGGACTTCCTTGGTGGTCTCCCACCTGAGTACTAACCAGGGCTGACCCTGCCGAGCTTCTGAGAGCTGATGAAATCAGGCTAGCCTGGGCCGTTCAGGCCAGGGCTGTACATATATACATTTTGATTTGTCATTTGTACGGACCGTGGATTTCTGTAAGCTGGTTTGAAGCTCGTTTTGGCTGAAAAGTAGGAGCGGGGGGGAGGGGAACCAGGCTCGGCTGGTTGGACAGAGCTGGAAACAGATGGTGCTTTGGACTGATCCAGCCAAGTCCTTTTTATTGATTTGTTTAATTTATACCCCGCCCTATCCCACAAGTGGACTCAAAGCCAGGCCAAAGCACCCAAAGAGTGATGAACACTTGGAATTCACTGCCACAGGAAGTGGTGGCGGCTACAAGCATGGACGGCTTCAAAAGGGAATTAGATAGGCATATGGAGCAGAGGTCCATCGGTGGCTATTAGTCACAAGGTATAGGTAGGGGCTCTGGGGCAAGGGATGCTCTGTCTTCTTGGTGCTTGGGGTGGTCAACAGTGGGAGGGCTTCTAATGTCTTGGCCCCACTGCTGGACCTCCTGTTGGCACCTGGTATTTCTGGCCACTGTGTGATACAGAGTGTTGGGCTGGATGGGCCTTTGGCCTGATCCAACATTGGCATCTCTTATGTTCTTATATGGAGCCGAGGTCCCTCAGCGGCTATTAGCCACAAGGTATAGATGGGAACTCTCGGTCTGGGGCAAGGGATGCTCTGTCTTCTTGGTGCTTGGGGGGGGGGGTCAACAGTGGGAGGGCTTCTAGTGTCCTGGCCCCACTGGTGGACCTCCTGAGGGCACCTGGTATTTCTGGCCACTGTGTGATACAGAGTGTTGGGCTCGATGGGCCTTTGGCCTGATCCAACATTGGCATCTCTTATGTTCTTAAGATTGTGTAAGTGCTGTAACAGGCGCTTATACTCGGGACTTGACACGTAAGAGCGCTTGCCAAAAAAAGCTGCCTGCCACTGGCTGAAACAGAAACCTCTGGAGCTGGCCCATGCTGGAAAGAGGGCACCTAGGGAGAGGAGCCGTGGCTCAGCGGCAGAGCCTCTTCTTGGCATGCAGAAGGCCCCAGGTTCAATCCCCGGCATCTCCAGCTAAAAGGACCAGGCAGTCAGTTATGGGGAAGTCCTCTGCGACCCTGCAGAGCGGCTGCCAGTCTGAGTAGACAATACTGACCTTGAGGGACCAATGGATTGATTCAGTCTAAGGCAGCTTCATGTGTGTCTGTGTGTGTCGCAGGGGCCAGCCACGGCCATCGCTGAAATTCGGTCTCCTGCATTCCCAGTTTCCTTTTCTTCTGCCAAAGGAGAGCTTCAGAAAGCAAAGCCACAGTGGAATGACACATATACACACACACACATTACTGTTGGCTGTTCCGTAAACTAGAACGCCTGAACGGCATTTGTTCAGGAAGCGGTCTAAAGCAGAGAAGTAGCCATTCACTAGGCAGAGTCGGCCTGGACGCGGCCCACGCCCTGAGCAGATTCTAAGAGGTCCAAGCTGAAGATCTTCAAGGGGATGAGTATTCCGGACCCTCAGATAAGAGCTGGACAACGGAGCACACGCAAGCGGGAAAGACGCTGAAGAAGGATGGGATAGATTGCTTTATTTGTACAAATCTGTGTTAAAAAGATATATAGATCTGATTTTTAAGGCACAGTTTTTTTAAAAAACAAACTCCAGAAAAGAAAGCTTTGGCATTGCTAGCGGCAACATTCTTGTAACTAAGGTGCAAAGGCGAGTTCTTCAAGTTCCTTTTGGCATGATTCAACCAAAGCGAAACCCATTGGAACAAATGGACACACACACACACACACACGTAGATATATGGGGACATTACAATATTTTGGCATGAAGTCTCTGAGCTGGGATTTGTATGCAGACGAAATGTAGGGAGGGGAGAAAGAGGATGCAGGAGGACGAAGCCGGGAGGGCCCAGTTGTGCGGGGCCCAAAGTGGGTTATCGTATATTGCTGACAGCGAGATCCAAGACAAGGAGTGAAGGACCTGGAGGCTACCGTGCCCACAGAGGGAGGATTCTCTGTTTTGCATTCGCTGCTGCTACCGATGCAGGGGCATCCACACAGGCAGTGGACCTTCCGCGTAAAGGTCTTCTGGACACTTCCTGCCATCAGCCACCACTTCTCTCTCTTCCGTGCCACTGGAAGGTTTTTGGTTATGCATCATTTATTGCAGGTGTGGTGTGGTGGTTGAGAGTGGCAGGACTCCAGTTTGGAGAACCGGGATCGATTCCCCACTCCTCCGCATGCAACGGCTGGTGTGACCTTCGGTCAGTCACAGTTCCCTCAGAGCTGTTCTCTCAAGGGCAGTTTCTGTCAGAGCTCTCTCAGCCCCACCTGCCTCACAGGGTGCCTGTTGTGGGGAGGGGAAGGGAAAGGAGACTGTAAGCCCCCCTCTGAGACTCCGAGTGAAGGGTGGGGGGTATCAATCCAACTCTTCCTCATCTAGAACTACAACAGCACTATAGTGCTATGGCAATTACCATTCCCCCCCCCCAAAAGCCCTCCAAGTTGCACAGTGTGGGAAACGGCAGCCCCTGGCAGCTGACGGGCAGAAGATGCCGATGGGGGCTCCCCACGTATGCTCTCAAGCATGTGGTCTAATAATGTGTTCTTTTCCAAAAGACTGTAGCCAAGCAGGTTTGGGAAACAGCATACAGGGAACGGGGAGACAGCAACCACGGCAAGATATTACAGGATGGCTTATTTATGAAACATTTATATCCCCCACACACACCTTTCGTCGTGGAAAGGCCTGGGGGCTCCGGCCAATGCCAGATGGACCGCTCTAAGTGGTGGGAAAGCCGAGAGAGGGCTGCCTGACGGCCCTAGTCGGTGCCCGTGGACACCGGATGGCTGACGGCACCAAGTCCTGAGAGGCTGTAAAGAGTAGGGATGTGCATTCGGTTCATCCGAACCGAATGCACCCCCGAAAATGGCCCATTCGGACCCCTTTCGGGCTACTGCAGGACGATTTAGATATCCTGATCTGAATTGGCTTGCTGCCGAATTTCCGCCGAATTTTGGCGGCAATTCGGCCCCATTCTATCCTATGGGCCATTGAAGTCAACGGCGAAAACATAGGGTATATTCTGGGGGCTGGAGGGGAGGGGGTTTGAGGGAGAAGCTCCAAACTCGCAGGGTAGCTGCTGGGCCCTTTCCCCTAGTAAAGAGCATCACCAGCACCAAGCTCCAAACTCGCAGGGTAGCTGCTGGTCCCTTTCCCCTAGTAAAGAGCATCACCAGCACCTTGGCTCGAACTCGGAAACAGACTGGCAGACAAGGTGGCTGTTTCAAAGTCGGCAACGTCAGTTCCCAGCTTGGAAAAAAACAAACAAAAATGGAGGGGGGGAACCTTAGCCCGAGCCCCCTTCAGCTGCCGAAAGCCCGGCAAACCACATGGAGAAGCTCCACAGCAGGACGAGGGCTTTTGTCGCGAACCAGCGACACCCTGCTTCTCTCGAGCGGAAGTCTGACAGCTTTAAGTCCGCGTATAAATCCCAGCTTCAGTCCAGGGCCTCGGTGATGTCCCTGTGCCTTGA